TTAATCTACAACAAAGGAGGCAAGAATATACAGTGGAGAACAGACAGTCTCTTCAACAAGTGGTGATAGGAAAACTGAACAGCTACCTGTAAAAGAATGAAAGTAGAAAATTCTCTAACACCATATAAATGTAAGACTGCATACTATAAATGCAAACTAAATGTAAGACTGAATACTATAAAACTCCTAGAGGAAAACATAAGTGGAACACTCCTTGACATAAATTGCAGCAATTTTTTTTTGGATCTGCCTCCTAGAGTAATGGAAACAAAAGCAAAAATAAACAAATGGGACCTAAATAACTTAAAAGCTTTTGCACAGCAAAGGAAACCATAAACCAAATGAAAAGACAACCTACAGAATGGGAAAGAAATATTTGCAGGCGATGGGACCAACAAGGGATTAATTTCCAAAATACACAAACAGCTTATACATCTCAATAAAAAAAAACCCAATAACCCAATCAAAAAATTGACAGAAGACCTAATTAGACATTTCTCCAAAGATGACACACAGATGGCCAACAGGCACATGAAAGGATGCTCAACATCACTAATTATTAGAGAAATGCAAATCAAAACTACAATGAGGTATCATCTCACATCAGTCAGAATGGCCATCATCAAAAGGTCTACAAATGATAAATACTAGAGAGGGTGTGGAGAAAAAAGAACCCTCCTACACTGTTGGTGGGAATGTAAATTGGTACAGTCACTATGGAAACAGTATGAAGGTTCCTTAAGAAACTAAAAATAGAGTTACCATATAATCCAGCAATCCCACTCCTGGGCATATATCTGGAAAAGAAGCAAACTCTAATTTGAAAAGAAACATGCACCCCAATGTTCATAGTGGCACTATTTACAATAGCCAAGACATGGAAGCAACCTAAATGTCCAGCGACAGATGAATGGATAAAGAAGATGTGGTATATATGCATAGACATAGAAAACAAACTTTATGGCTAATAAAGGGGAAAAGGTGGGGGAGGAATAAGTTAGGAGTTTGGGATTAAAATATGCTACTATATATTTATAAAACAGATAACCAACAAGGACCTACTATATAGCGCAGGGAACTAACTATACTCAATATCTTGTAATAACCTATAATGGAAAAGAATCTAAAAAAGAATATATATACAAATATATATATACACACATATATACACAAATAATATATATAAAACTGAATCACTTTGCTGAAACTAATACACATTGTAAATCAACTATATTTCAATAATTTTTTTCTTTTTTTTGGCCACATCACGCAGCATGTGGGATCTTAGTTCCCCAACCAGGGATCAAACCCATGCCCCCTGCAGTGGAAGCATGAAGTCTTAACCACTGGACCATCAGGGAAGTCCAATAAATTTTTTTTTTAAAAGATGTGGTATATATATACAATGGACTATTACTCAGCCATAAAAAAGAATGAAATAATGTCATTTGTAGCAACAAATGGATGGACCTAGAGATTATCATACAAAGTGAAGTAAAATGAAGTAAGTCAGACACAGAAACACAGATATATAGTATCATTTATATGTAGGATTAAAAAATGATACAAATGGGCTTATTTACAAAACAGAAATAGACTCACAGTCATAGAAAACAAACTTATGGTTATCAAAGGGAAAGGGGCGGGGGATAAAGTAGGAACTTGGGGTTAACACATACACACTACTATATATAAAGTAGATAAACAACAAGGACCTCCTGTATAGCATAGGGAACTATATTCAATATCTTGTAATAATCTATAACAGAAAAGAGTCTGAAAAATAATATATATATAAAACTGAATCACTTTGCTGTACACCTGAAACATTGTAGACCAACTATACTTCAATAAAAAAAATTTTTCTTGGAACAAAAATGCTGTGGGATGAATGCTCTCTGACAAAGGAAAGCAACAAAATGGAGCCAAAGGAAGTTGTACAGGGTTTTCTAAAGAAAAGACATTATCAAAGAATAGACATTTTACTGAAAGTAGAAGAAAGTACCATAATCTAAAATGTTTTTAATTAAATCAAAGAGTCAAGAAAAAAATCTTGGATTCTCTACAGCAAGTTTGAGTTTAGCTTGGAGAGGAAAGAATGCAGTAGCTTTCTCTTGCATTAGAACAGGTGTGTACAGGCCAAGATTGGAACAAATCAGCAATGCCTTGGGAAGCCCTTCCTGACAGAGCAAGACTGGAAGGAAAGATGATCGATTTGAAGGATACCAGAAACACAGGGGCCACTCAGTCTGAAACCCCTGGAGTTTAAAGCTTGATATTACTGCTTCTTATATTTCTGAGACTCTTGACTTTTGGTGGAGTGAAAAGACCACCAGACACGCAATGAGATCTTGGCTGGAGTCCTGGTTCTGGAGTCAAATGGAAGATACCTCAACATAACTTCCCTTTTCTCGTGGGCACTGTGCAGACAATACTCCTTACCTAGTTCAGTTCCCATGACATCATTTACATGCAAGGCCTTGCCTGTTGGTATCTACTTGTTAAACATTACTCTAGAGAGAGACTCCATTTGAGCCAAAAGATTTTTTGATTAATTCATATTACTCTGAATATTTAATAAAGTATTTTTAATAAGTATTTTGTAAAAAGTTATGGTAAAGCTGTTACTGTTGAAAGCTTGATTTAAGAAAATAGTCATACATCTTATCAGCTCAATTTAAGAAACTCAAGTTATATATAATCAAAGATCACCATCTAGTGGCCCAATTGTACTATAACTTCTAAAGTTAGCTGCAAGCTCCAAAGACTTCAGAGGCTAGAAGGCGTGTGGAAAGCATCCGGCCCTGCCAAGGAGAGGAGCAAAGAGAGATTTTGGGCCCACTAAAAGCATTCAAATTTCAAGTTACAAACAAAATAAACAAAACACGGTGCCCTTCAAACGAATCAACCTTCCAAATCAAGCTTTGGTCTTGGGCCTCTGGTCACTCAGAGTATGAGTGGATAGTTGAATGTGATAAAGTAAAGTGAAAACTATTTTGGAGATAAGCTCAGAGAAATCCAAAACAATGAAGGCCTTTACAATTATCTTGAGCGACTTTGCCTCTCACAAGCAACTTTACAATCGAAAATTTGGTTTCCTTGTGATAGAATTATTTGTGTGTACATCTTGATGATAAGAAATAAAGTTACAAGAAAACATCATTGCCCCACACAATTCTCTTCTAATTAGGCAGCATGAGCTATTGAAAAGGGCATAGTCTTGAGTCAGAGGGCTTTGTTCAAATTCTGGCTTCACTCCCTATTGGCTGTGTGACCTTGAGCATGTTACTCAACCTCACTGAGCCTCACAGGGCTATCGCAAGGATTAAATGAAATAAATCTTGGAAAGGGCTTATTCTGGTATCCAAAACATAACTGGTGCTCCTTTCACCATTCTCTCACTTAAAAGAAACCATATAATTTAGAAGAAATTAAAGAAAAAGTTTAACTTAAAAAAAAAATAGGGTTTGGATTTGAAGCCAAAAGCTGACTTTTAAATTACATTTTTCTGTTAAAATGAAGATAAGAGACTGTCTAGTAATCATATGACCAAAGTAACAGTGGTTGTCCTGGCTTTGACTGATTCTGTATTTTCTTTCAGGATGTAATTTTCTTACTGGTAACATGGAAGAAAGAGTTGTATCCACCGTAAAACGAACATAATAGTACAAACCTCACAGGGTGTTGAAAGGATTAAATGAGATGTTGCATAAATGTCCATAGCTCAGTACCACTTAGTAAGGATACTACTAAGTTTCATTATTACTGGTCTTTGCCTCTCTCGTGGGACATCTGTGAGAATATAATTGCCATTGATTATTTCAGAAATGCCCGCGGGCTTTTGCTACCTTCCTCACAAATCACTCTTTCGCCAAGGTTCTTCCCTAGAAAGACCAGCACTGGGGCTCTCATAAGGTGCCTGTTTCTTTGTACACACTATGCAGATGACTGGTTTTAAAACAAGTCACAGCAGAATTTGCATTTCCAAACGAGAGTTGTATCCTTCAAAGTGCGTGAGAGGTTAAAATTCTTGTTCCTCTAATATCCCTCTACTCTGGGAACTTCCCTCACAACCGACTATGTATCCCTTTATCTCAACAGAAGCAAAACGGAAAAAGGATTTTAGTGGAATAGAGAAATAGATTTGTGTGGGTAGCCTGTAGGTTGGTTCTGAGGCAGTTCATGAATATTTCTGAGCAACAGCCAGCATAACTTTGCAAAGTGACAACACAGAAGGAATACTATCATAGGGGTATATTAATTATAAGATGATATTTTAAAGTCGCATCTTAAAGGAGAAAAAAGGTCTATGTTCAGAGGCTTAAAGAGCCTGCATCCCTCTTTGTGCCCCTTTCCATTGGCACCTTGCCTGTTCACAGAGTCCTAAAGTTTCGACCCATATTTGGGATATCAGGGTTTTGGGGGGTTTTGTTTTGTTTTGTTTTTGTTTCCCTAAATCACTTTAACGAGACTTTCCGGAGGGGTTGGGGGTGGGTCTCAGGCCCTTGCACACTGACTTGCAGCACCCAGAAGTGGCACAAACGTCCTGTCAGGCCCACGGTTCTAATTTGGGGTATGGAAATTGTTGCTAAGTAAAGCAAGGCAGCTATGACAGGAAGTAAAGCCTTGGCCGGTGGAAGCCTGTGCTGGAGTTCTAGCGCCACTACTCACAAAGCGCTTAATTATTTTGAGCTTCGTTTCCTCACCCGTGAAATGGGGGGACCCGGCCCGACTGGCCTCAGGGGACTGTGATGAGGGCTGGAGCCAGACTGAGAGTGAGAAGGCCCTCTTAAGCATCACGCCCAGAGTCCCTCCCCTGCTCTTGGCACTCACTGGTCCCGTCCAGCTCTGCAAGAGGGGTCTCACCACGCCCAGAGGGCCAGCGGGGCAAAACAGAGATGAGGGACCCTCCGCGGCGGCAGGTGAGGTGGCCCGTGTCAGCCTGGCTGAAGGGTCCCTTCTGCCCACGCCCGACCCTCAGCAGGAAGCCCCAGGCTCACCGAGCGCCTCTCCACGCTCCCTTTTTTCCTGCCATTCTTGCCTGGGGTGACATCCAGCGAGCGGTAACTGGGTGGCTTCTCCTCAGGCCAGTTTGGCGAGCGCGAGCGGCGGCGGCGGCGACGGGGCCCCCAATTCCGGGAATGCCTCTCCTTCTCCTCCTCCTCCTCGGAGCTCCAGGAACTGAGCCCGGAGGGCAGGGGAGGGGAGTAGCTGCGGTGCCGGCGCCTCTGGTGTCCCTGGGCGCTGCCCCGGGGGCTGGGCCCGCGGGCTCTCTCTGGGAAGCGGCTCCGGAGACGGGGGCGGTTGGGCGGCCAGCGGGCCTCGCTGGACGAGGGGCCGTCGCTGAGGCTGTCCCTGTCTGACCAGGGTGTGGGTGACCCGCGCTGCCTGGAGCCGCGGTGCCTTCCGCTCCGCAGTCGGCCCAGCTCCCTTTGCTCCAGCGCCCAGCGCTGAGGCTCCCGGTCCCGGTGCTCCTGCTGGAAATCAGAGTAGCGGTGCTGCCTTCTCCCCTCCCTCAGATCCCAGGGTCCGGGGGGAGGCGGGGGGAGCCACTGCTGGTGGGAGGAGTTGCTGGTCCTCCGCAGAGACGGCAGGTCTCTGACCAGCGGGGGTAGGTGGATGATTCTGCGTTCCACGACCTCAGAGCCCAGGGAGGACAGCATGCTGCGGGGATGGCCAGATCTGCCTTGGAGGTCAGCCGGCAGAGGCTGGGCTGGGTTGAGGTTCCGCAGCTCTTTCTCCAAATACTCTAGGACACCGTTGGTGATGGGAGGGTGAGCGGTGGTCTGGGTCAATGGCATCTCTGGGAGGCTGGATCGCAGGGACAAATCTGATTGAAGATAAGGAAAAGAACATGCAGAACTGCTGGTCCAAAACACACTCCTCAGAATCAGGGCACCGAAGTGCCACCTTATTAGCATGCATCTACCCCCTCCCATCCTCAGTCGTAAAGATGTCCACCATATTGGTCATGAAGGCCCCAATGCAGCCCATGCTCCTACCCTTGCCCTTTACCCTCTCCCACCCCAAATCTCTGGCAAGGTTTACCTCGCTGCAGCAGTGGATTCATTGGATAAGATGAAAACTGGGAGCTCCTGTCCGCCCCCCAGTACAGGGGTTTTTCGATCATCTGAGGGCCTAGGGCCTGAGCCTGCTTCATGTTGCGTTGGTGGGCCAGGGCTGCAGGGGGAAAAGGAGAAATGCAGACCCTCAGCCAGGGCAAGGCCCACACCTCCCACTTCACTTCTCTCCACCTAGCAGCCTTGCCAAGAGGCCACTTTCTCTCTTCGAAGTTTATTGTGACCTCTCTCGCATGGGAGTAAGAGTTAAGGGAAGTAGTGAATCAACTATTCCCTTGGCAAGGAGCTGGGAATAAATTCCCCAGCCAACACTGCAACTCCTGCACACTAGGAAATATAATCTTAAAACCTGACTTCCTAGTCTTGAAAACATTTCATTGTTCTGCCCATTTCCAAGGTCACCTAAAATGTATAGGTAGATGCATAGGTATTAGCAGGCAATGAAATTTCAGGCCATAGGCCAAATATAGAAGGTACAGATGCAAAGGGCTTAGAGGAGGCTGTTAGTCAGGGGCTGCTTGGGAGGACTGCCTGCTCAGAGTGGAAAAAGAGGACGCAGGTGCTGAGGTCAATGGGCAGAATTACTGGTAAAGGGAGAGGGACTGAAGAACGTTTCTAGCTGGTAATGCCAGCCCTGGGCGGGAGAAAACCAGGGGGAAGAAGGCAGAGAATGCAAAAAAGTTGAGGTGGATCCTTTCTACTCTTCTCCTCACTTTATTAAGTATTGGGGTTTTCCCTAAGTAGGGGGAATCTCTAATGGGTGGGGTAGAGGCAGAGAAGGGAGAAGGGAAATACCATTTCCTTTCAGGGCAAAGAAAATAATAGAAAAAAGCAGCACAAGGGATCCATAGAAACGTTTCTCCAGTCGCTTAGGTGCAGCTGGTCTGAAGCACACAACCCACAGCAAGTACAAATTAAAAACAAATGAATCTAGTTGTTTTTGTTCATGAATTTCTATTTTGAGGTAATTGTGACCAAGTGCACATGTCTCCCAAGCTCCCTGTCTATCCATGCATGTAGGAAATGTACTTGTGTGCTTAAGTGCAGGAAGTGCCTGCCAGCCTGGCATTCTCACCTCCTCCTGGGTTCCCCAAGCCCTGTGGCCACCCCTAAAGCAGCAGGGCTCTGCCAGAGGCTTCCTCTTACCACAGAAGGAAGAGGTAGGAGACAGGCATTCTGGACCCAGCTGCATAGGTTGGGGGATTTGCTGAGGCCAGCAGCTAAAGGGCCATCAGGAAGGCCACCCAATGGCTCTAGTATGAAACCAACTTCCAGCACAATAGGAAGTGGTTTCAGCCAAGCCCCCAAAAATGTTTGGAGCCCCAGCCCTGATGGTGAGTCACAGCCCAGCATGGAGGAAATCAGATGCAAACTTAGAGCAGCTCACCCAGCTGCCACATCTTCATGCCAAAGGACAGCACTCCAGACCCTCTAAAGATAGGTTCACTTGCTCAGCACTTTCCTCTCCCTCTTGCTAACAGGTGCCTCCCCCAGCTCCCTATACACGATATCTTCAGCACACACAATGCCCTCCTTAATATGCGCCAGTCACTTTACATGAGCTAACTAATCCTCAGAGGAATCTCTTAATATGAGAATCAGATGAGGAAGTTAGGCTTACAGAGGTTACCTTCCCAGCCCAATGTCCCACAGCTGGTGACTGGCAGAGGCAGCATGTGACCCGGTGTCTGTCTGCCACTCAAGCCTGTACTCTTTCTGCCAAACCACAGAGTCCCCAGACTCCTTTATTTATGTGATAAAGCAAAAAAAAAAAAAAAAAAACCTAAAAACAAAAAAAACCCTTCTCTAGTGGTAGTGCCTCACTTTATTTCTCTCCACTCAGCACCACACCATTCAAAACCCACTTCAGACTAACCTCTGCTTCCAAGGCCTGGGGACATCTGATTCCATTGGGAACAACCCTACCCACCCCCTGCCCCTCTGACTGAATCTTGGTTTCCTCCAGATGATACCATTTCCCCTTTGGGCCACTTCCTTCTTCAACTCCTCCAATTCAATAGGAGGGAAAAGGAGAGTTGGGCTTAACTCCTTGCTCCCCAAATGACTTTTTAATTAATGGGACCCCCTGCAGAGATGACTCCCTAGAGACCCTTCCAGATCCTCCACGCGCTTTCCTGTCAGATTTTTACATATTCCCAAGATTAACACACCTGCTCCCTTCTTAGCTGCCACAAACTTTTTCCCAGGGTCCCTCCCTTCCCTGATGCACTGGAACTGATGAGATGGGAGTGGAAAAATACAGCCTCTGAGCTTCTCCCTTGCCCTCCTGTCCCTGGAAACAGCTCCATGGGGAAGTCTAGGCTATCAGGTGTTTCTATTGCTCACCTAATGGGGAATCAGGCAATAAAATAAGAAACATGGAGAAATGAACAAAGCTTCAAGACTCCTAATAAGTTACCTCTGAACCTCAGTGGTGTAAAGTCTGCCTTGGTCACCTTTAACGTGCTAGTTATATATACAGACTCCTGGACCCTGCTCGCAGACTGACCTTCAGTCTAATACAAGGTAAGAAAATCCATGTTTTCAACAAGCTCTCTGATTTTAATGCAGGGAGTCGAACTGGAGTTGACTATTGTGGATTCTCAACAACATTCTGAGAATTATGGTCCTCAGGGATAGGTTAAACACAGGCTTTGAGGGTCACGTGGACTTCAACTTGAATCCCAGCATGTATTAGCTGTGTAAGTTTGAGTGAGTTTCCAGAGTGTCTGAGCCCAATCTCCTCATATCTGAGCTGGGGATAATAATACCTACTTCACAAAGTTGTTGAAGTTAAATGAGGTAATGCACATGAAATGCCTAACAGCTCATGGCTCTCACTGTTACTGTTAAAATAAGTCGCTTCTTTCACCTTAGATCTCATAGAAGACAAAAAGTACACATTTGGAGACTAGACCACCATATTCATCCTCATTGCTGAGGAAAACCCAGGGCATGTTCTTTAAGAAGACCCTTTTGTGGCAGAAATAACACTCAACACCTCCCCTCCTGCAGAGACCTGCAGCCAGCATCCTCTGTGTGCATCACCCATGGTGCCCCTGAGGACCTCCAACTTCTTACTATTCCTTACCACCCCCTCCCTGCCCTTATAGTGTGTTCTTCGCCCTCTCTGACCCATGGTCACACATTCCTTTTTTTTATACATATACTGGCAGTATACACAGTATACCAAATTGACTGGCAGTCCTTCCACTGACAACCTCAGGAGCATCCTAGAATCTCATGCCCCTTGAATTTTTGCCATTTCAGCTTTAGGAAACCACCAGTCAATGCTTCCTGGACCCACACTGGCTGCACAGTCAGGCAACTGACCTCATATAGCCCTTCTCGCAATGTGCGTAGATCTCCTTGACTGATCTAGCGACCCTGCTTCCCTCCTCCAGAGCAGCAGTTTAAACTTCTCATGTCTTCCCCTCCCTATGAACTTTCAGCTAATGACATGTCTTTGCTGAGGAAGAGGAACCAGCCCTGGACATGGAATCAAGAGACCTAGGTCTAGTCCAGGGCTCATCACTAACAAGCTGTGTGTAACTGTGGAAAAGTCTCTCTAGGCCTCACTTCCCTCAGCTGAGGGGATGGGGAGGTGGGTGGCATAGATCAGAGATTCTCCGTGTGGCCTATAGCCCACTGCAGGGTGCGCCTAGGGGTTCCGTGGGGAGGAGGGTCAACAACCAATCTAGGGATGGAAGTTGTCGCTCCAGTTCCCACGGAAAAAAAATAAGATTCAGTGTCAATAACTTTCTTCTTTAAGTTCTACTGTAGGTTGTTTACTAGTACTAAGTGAATTACCAAGGATTACTAAACTTTGGTGTCATTTTCATTTTTCTCCTCTCTGATCCTCTGTTAACTCTCAATGGAAAGTAGGAGCAGGTTGGGGAGGTGGGCTGTGGTCTCGGAAGCTCAAGAATCACTGGCATCGAAGCTGCCTTTTGCATCTAGAATTTTGATGTGCTGAAATCGAGACAGGCGGGTGTGAGCTCCCTCCCTCAGCTCCTTCCCTGACACTTTAATCGTCTTCCAGGTGTTAACAACTTCCTCTCTCTCTTCAGAGGGCAGGCTTCCTTTTCCTTTTCTGTCTAAAGGTAATCCTTTCACTGTAAGCCTGATGTCTCTCCCACTGGCTCCATCCCTTCTGAGTCATCGCCTTACTTCACAATGCTTCCCTTCACTCTCTTTCTGTTGGCCTTGGTTCTCTGCCTACACATATGCTTAGGGTTACCTTATTCTAAAAAAAAATCAACGATCACATACACCCTCTTCCCCACCCAAGAGCTTTCCTTGACAACTCCTGCCCCCTCTATGTAATCTCCTCTTATCACCAAATTTCTCAGGACAGACTCCCCAAGTGACTCACTTTGAAAGTGATCTCATCTGCTCAAGTTCAGGGATCTTTTATTTGTGGCCCACATTTCTTTACTTTACCAGTTCTTCTAAATGACCCCTAACCACTTAGGAGAAACCACTTTCTCCCAGAACCTGTTTATCAGCTTACTGACAGTGGATACATTTATCGCTTGTGCTGACTGAGTCCCTAGCCCTGACTGTTTTGAGTACCCCACAGACCTAGGGATTCCAAGAAAGTATCTTGGGAGAGTTTCTCTCATCTCAGTCTGCATATTTCTGCTCCAGTGGCAGTGACTTCTACATGGCATCTCTCCCAGAGGCCTCTGAACGGTAGGGAGCTCCGTGGCCCAATATTGAGTTCTCTGCTATTTTTCTTCTCTTGAAGGAGTTCATTGGTATCTCAGCCAATCCCATAGTGATCTACACAGATAGGTCGTGGCAGCCTCTCTCGTGGGAAATTCAGGCGCTCATAAGTCAGATAATCATGAATACAACGCTGCACTACTTCTGCTACTTACCAGCTGTGTGACTCCTCTGACCTTCAGTCTCCTCATGGTTAAATAATGATACCTGCCTTCTAGGGTTGTGAGGATTCAAAAGGGAAATATATGCAAAGGGCCCACACACACCAGACATCCAATAAAAGTTAGTTCTCTTTTCCTGTAAGACAGCAACCTCAGAACATAGGCCTGAAACTAGACTCAGACCATTGACCTTCTTGACCTTGTAGATTAGGTTTTGTTTCTGTCTTAACAGCCAATTTCTTATTTTTTTCTTTTAAAAGTTTTCTTTT